TATGAATTGACCTAATTCACATTTCCTGAATTTGTATGCAAGCTGGAATATCTTACAGTTTCCCCCCCTCTTTTCTAAAAATTGTGATATTGTTCTTTAATAAAAAAAAATAAGTACACTGGAAAAACATGACACATGACAGGTAACAAATGAGGGGAAATGTACAAAATTTATTAATTTTTTATAGACTTAAAAAAGTTGAAAAATGGGACAGAACACACTTGTGCCTGAAAAAAATATATGAATTTTATTGAAACAAAAGCCAGATTTGTTCTATCATCTGTAAGTAGGGTTAGATAAGCTCTTCTCTTAGAATCTTGTCTGCTATATTTTGGTAAACCACAAGGGGTCACACAATATTTATAAATCTGCTCATGAAAATTGCTTTGCTAAAGCTTCTTTAGTAAAGGCAGACATTTCAAATTTAGTAAAAGACCACCAGGCCAAAATGTAAAACAATAAGACAGATTTCTTTTTTGTGTGTGTATCTGTGTGCCATAGCACTTGTAGCTTGTGAAACCTGCTACCAACATTACCCAAATATCCTTTTCATGGTGCATTTCATGCTGAAGGCTGGAGAAACTATCTGTGAAAATGTGATCCTTTCTGATTCATCATTAGCAGCTCATGCAAATTTGAAAGAAAAACAGGAGCAAGAATTTCATGACACAGTAGGTAACATGTAACTGAATTATATATGATGCAACCAGTGGTATTGCCATGATTTAAATAAGCACAATTAACAATGATATAAATATGATTCAAGACCAATTAACTGGGCAGATTGGCAATAGTACAATAAAAGACGTAATATATATCAGTCAGAATTTGTGTTCCTGAAACGAGCATTATTAGGCATGACAAATCCAGTGAACCGCAGGACTTTGCCAACCTGGTTGATCATCTGTAATGATACAGGGGCACAATCTATGTGCTGTAACTAGTCGCATGATGGGTAGATTGCTTTTTAAAATGAGAAATATTAATCAGAACTCTGTGATGATTATCCTATTAAAGAACTGATATATATTAAATTTATTTGTTGAAGCTTCTGATACTTCTTACACTTTTTCAGGTGGGTTTGTATCCAAAGATTCCTTTTAAAAATGGCTTGGATTTTATGAATACATGCAAAGGTTGAATCCATATATTAATATGCTCCTTTAGTAAGTAATTCTTAACCTTTGGTTCTTAAGATGTTTTGTTCTACAAATCTCAGCCACAGCTAGCATGGCGTACGATAGAGGATTATGAGAGCTGAAATCCAAAACATGGGGAAGGGTGGCAGAGGTTGAAAACCACTGCCTTAAGGCCATATGAGCTGCAACTTCTGTTTAGACATGGCAGGTAAGAAGATGGAGGGACAAGTGACTTCTCAAAGACAAAGATGAAGCATGAGGCAGAGATAAAATCTGAAATTTCAAGCATCAAACCAGGACAACCATTGCTGCTTCATACAATTACCCACCTGACTAGAAATGGCTCTTCAAGGAATTTGCTAGCAGAAACCTCCTCATTGCTGCTTTGATTAATTTTGATGATGTTGCTGATGAGAATCGAAATCTGCTAACCAGTTAGCAGCTTCATGCTTCCCTGTTGCTGAGTGTAGTTGGTTTTCTGCATGACAGCTGGTAAGGGCTTCTAAATTGACCTGTAGTTACAATGGGTGATTTTTTGCTCTTGCTCTTCATGGAGGTATTTGATCTAATATTTGTTGCAATGTCATAGAAACATAGAACTGGAAAGGGCCTAATGGGCCATTGAGTCCAACTTGCTGCTCAGTGTAGGATCTCCAGCTAAAGCATTCCCACCAAATAGCTGTTCAGCTTCTGTTTGAAGATGTCTAATGAAAGAGACCCACAACTTCTTTAGGCAATTGGTTCCTTTGCCAAACTACTCTTACTGTCAAGAAGTTCCTTCTAATGTTCAATCGAAATCTACTCTCCTGTAACTTAAAACCATTGGACCCAGCCCTAACCTCTGGGCAGCAAAGAACAGGGCTACCTCCTCTTCTCTGTGAGACCCTTTGAGATCCTTTAAGAGTACAATCATGTCACCCCTCAGTCTTCTCTTCACCAAGCTGCACAAGCCCAGCTCCTTCATGATATGACATTCATTCTCTCCAAGACAGGTGGCCTCACAATAATATGCTGCACATATTAGGATCACTGGATACCATTTTGTTCCTGGACAGAGTGTTTATCCATTTAGCCTTTGTGATATATTTCAGCTGATAATAGCTTTCCAGGGGTCTCTGGCAGAAGTCTTTTACATCACCCATTAACTCTCTTAACTGGAGATGCCTAGCATTGAAGTTGTGACTTTTTGTGTAGAAAACACATATTGTGTACCTTATGTTAAAGAACATATGTCTTGTTGCTATCACTGCCATGCTTCTGAAATTTGCTGATGCAGTGGCAGCAAATTTGGGGGCAGAGAAGCTATGGTTCTTAGTGGATAAGCTTCCTTCCATGAGTTGTTCACCTTTGGTTTAAATATGAACCTTCATGACCAAAGGCAGGCACAGGAAAGACCAAATCTTTTCTGTTTATGGAGCAGGCACAATACTAACCTGTAACAAACTCACCCAGACATAACATGGTCCTATTCCATAATACAATCACATGGGTCAAAAAATTCTGAAATTAGATTTCTTTTATTTCTGAAATTACAATGTGGCCAGCATTGGGACTTTTCTACCATGTCCCTAAACGCTCCTTTTTTTCTGCAAATTTTTGAGAACATATCCAACCAGAGGGAAAGCCCTGCTGTGTTTTCTGCTTATTTTGATACGTTTGTCTTGGTCCTAATAAAGTTAAAACCCCATGAGTGTTTTGATTTAATAAAAGAATTTTATTAGACCAATGATGGCACAAACAGTTTATAAATAGAATAATTACTGTTAATAGTTTATTTTTCTGGCTTTTAAAGTGAAAAATCATAAGTTATCCCCCCAAAATCAATCTCTTTTGTAAGTAGACACTATAGAAAAATAGCTGGGTGGTTTAACTTTTCTTGACCCATAGTAGAATACCTGCATTTTTAGCCGAGCACTAGCATATTGCAATTTATCAGTTCCCAGGGTCTCAGGGATCAACATCACTGGTTATTGTGGTGTTTTGTCTCTGTCTAGCTGTCCTTCCTTCTGCCTCTGTATAGGAGGATCTGGGACAGGTAGTATTTGAGGTAGCATGCTACATAGGTAGCCACAAATCCATCTATCCAAGTCCTAGTTTAACTGTTCATAGAGAAAAGACTGGGACAGCAGCACTTCATTCAGAAAGTTGCTTGTTCCATTGTATCCTTCTTCTGATTGGTATGAGGAGAACTCACATAAGCTAATCTACAATTTAGGCTTGCTGGGGGTGGTAGCGGGTTGGATGGCAGTGGGTTACAACCTAGGCTGCTCTCCTAGACCTCCATGTTCCATTGAGGTGTATCCTATCCATTTTTCACATTTGGGCTGTGTATACCTGCATATATTATGCATACAAACAAAACTTAGAGTGATAAAATGGAGGGACTAGTTAGAATGGTGAAGTAGTTAGACTGGCCAATGATCCAATGTAGGACATTTTGGTGAAAATGCATAAACACAGCCTCTGTTGTATATTCCACCACCGTGAAAGGCTGTAGTGGTGACTACATGCAATATGGCTTTCTTTTTAGCAGCACTATGAAATTCGCATTCAAGGGAAACCAGTCTGGGTTGGCTGAGATGCATCCTTGTTTGAGATTCCAACAGGCAGCTAAGACTGTATTATTCCATTAGGTTTTTGATTTTTTTAAATGGTTTTTAATCTATATTTAAATGTTGTTTTCAAAAACATGTAATGTTCATAATTTTGGGGATGCTGGTGGGCAGAAAGAATGATTAATAAATACTTTTAGTTAAAAATAGAGGTCAGCCTTTTGTAAGGTCTAACTTAAGTAACAACAGAGAGCAAACAATGAATGCTAATTGGACTGGTTTCTGTTCTACAATTCCCTGTTCCTCAGCCTCTTAGATTGTTACTTGGTCCCAGTGTGATTGATGTAGCTTAAGGACTATAGTAACTTTCTTGCATCATTCACAATGAGCTGGAAAGGAAAGCTCATGGGGTAGGATATGGACTGGAATTGATTTTTGTTTTAAATCACCAAGGTTCCTATTAGAGATCTTTCACTCATTCTGGTTTGTTAGACGGTGCTATAGAGATGTATTCCTCAATTTAGAAAACCTTGAGGAATAATTTATTGCACAGCTCAATTAAATATATTACGAAGACTAAGCTCCATTAATAGTAATGAATCACTACCCAGATATTTTTAGCTGTCTTTTCTGTAATGTTTCTACAATCTTTTTCTGCTCTGTTACTTTTTATGGAGAGATTCATAGCAATGCTAAAAATGGCAGTTATTGAAATAAAGAAAATAAAAATAGGCATGTAAGGCAAGACTGCAATGTGCAACTGAAATGTGTAGGTGGCTGTCATCTATAATTTACTTGCAGCATTGCTATGCAGACTGACTACATGCAAAAACTTCAGAGATAGCTGGCTTTGAGAAGACTTCTTTTTGTGCTAGGTATTTGTACTCTAAATCCTCCAATACTGCATATACATATCAACCTTCTGAATTCCTGTGCTTCTCTGAAACAGTTGGTTTTATGTAACAGTGGGGAAACCTTGTATCAATTCAAAAGTTTTTGAATTGTTTTTAATGTGATCCCTCCCCCCCCCCAATGAATGACTAGTTGTCTAGTAGACACTGTTCTGACAAAGGGGCTCTTTTTGTGTTCACACAAAACGAGAAAGCTTTTCTTAAGAGTTAATGAACCAAATTAAGAATTCTAGTGTCGTTTTCATAGATGGCCTTTACTTATGTAAGACTTGTTGGTGAAAGGAGCAAGGCGTCTCTGTTCTTTTCATTTTCTAATCCACAATGCTTCTGGAATAGTCACATGGAAAGAATAAACATAAAACCAGCCTGGCAGTATCTAGCCAACATATCAAAGCTGTAGGTAGGTGGTATAGTGGCTTGAATGTTGGACTACAGCTCTGGAGACCATGGTTCAATTCCCTACTCAGCCATGAAACCTGCTGCATAGCCTCAGGGGAAGCAGTGGCACCCCGGAGGAGCGCCGCAGCCGCGAAAAAGGGCGGCGGCGGCGGCGGCGGTAGGACCGGGCAGGGGCTGGTCCGAAGGCTGCAGGCTGTAGGGTGCTGACCCCTGATCTATACAATCAAAAGCTTTGCTATAATCTGTAAAGCACAGGCTGATTTTTCTTTTGAAATTCTTTGATGTGCTCCATTATCCAACATATTTTTACAATATGATCCCTAGTGCCTCTTTTGTTCCTGAAAATAAGCTTGGGTTTCTTGCATTTCTTGCTCCAAATACAGTAAAAGTCTTGTAGAATTTTGAGTATCACTTTTCTTGCATAGGGAATTAATGCAATGGCCCTGTGGTTACTGCAGTCCTTTGTCTCCCCTTTCTTGGGAATTGGGATGTATATTGAGTATTTCCAATCTGTGGGCTGTTGTTTTGTTTTCCATATTTGTTAACAGATTCTGGTTAGAACTAAACTAAATCCTGTCTTTCTACTATTAAGTGACTTTATTGGTATTCAATCTATTCCTGGTAATTTATTTCTCATAAGTGCTCTGAGTGCAGCTTCCTAAAATTGGAGGTTTGCCCTCATATGCTTCTTCCTTGAATGAATCTTTCATCCATTCATCTCTTTTACATAGTTCTTCACTGTATTGTTTCCATCAACTTTTTATTCATTCTTGGTCATGTAAAATGTTCCCCTGCTGGTCATAAAGCATCCCCACTCTTGGCTTAAAATTTCCTTTGATTTCTCAGATCTTGTGGATAAGGTCTCATTTTTGTTATCACCTTCTATTTTTCTGCATTGATTATTATTTTAGTTTTCCTTGTTCCTGTGTGCAAGTTGTTCAACAGTTGCTTTTTCCTTGTTCCTGTGTACAAGTGATTCAACAGTTTCATTCAGGGTTCTGATTTTATTTCTGCTACCTTTTACTTTTGCTTTTCATCTCTCTCTAACTGCCCACAGTTTCATCTGTCATCCATAATTGAGACTTCTCTCTCTCTCTCTCTCTCTTTTGGCCACAGATAGTGTTTTTTTCCGTTTCTTCCTGACAATGTCCAAAGTTCTTCTGTCGGCTGGTCAATAAAGCTTAATAGTGCAAATCTATTTTTCACATTTTCCTTAACTTCTATGAGGAGGTTTTTTAGGTTGTACTTCAATATGACGGTTGGTCTAGTCTTCATCTTTAGCTTTGTTTTATTTTTTGTAAATATAATATTTTTTATTAAGAATTTCTAATATAATAAAAATAACATACAAAGAGAAAAAAACCCAAAACCCACAAAGTAACATCTTTTGTGCAGCTGTTTATCAAATCAGATTACAGAACACAACAGTGTAGATAATAAATTATTTAAATTCTAATGCAGCACAATAGAGCCACCAGCATTAGACAACCATAATAGACAACAAATTTTCCTTAATCTCCTGCCTCCACCCCATTTTATTATTGTGACTGTATCCTGACTTTTCTTAAAAAAAAACTACACAGCACATTGTGAGAATGGAATTAGATGAACTCTGCATATAAATATGCTTATTGAGTTAAATATTATGATAGAAAAAACTGAGATGCAAGTCTATGCAGAAAATTACCAATTAACTTTGTATTCACAAGATCCTATTAATGGATTTTATTTTTCCTAGTCACCCATGAGTACTGGCAGAGCAGCAGAATTAAATCCTGAACAAAGGCAGTTCAAAATTAAGCCATTTCTGTGGCACAGCCTTCTTGTTTGGGTTTGTGTACATAACAGCTGCTCCGAAATAGACGAAGTGCTCAGGCATGTCTTATTCTATAAGGAACAGCTTCATCAGAAAGACTGGTAAGGATAACCTTATAACTTGATATAATCTTTATGGAAATAACCTTTGTAATGATATGTTAAATAACCTTTATGCCTAAATGTTAATCACCCCAAAGTTGCCTGTCAAAAGGATTTATATGTTTTTGTGCCAGAAGGAGAAGCAAGTTATGTACTTTGTATTGATTCAGTTTATCAATAAATTCTTTTGGCTTTTTGGCTGGAAGACATAACATACATTTTACTAGTTTACTTATATTAAATAATGTCTGTTATTGATAGCAACTTCATTTCAGCTTTTCAAAATGCAGTAATTTTCACCTACGGTAACTAAACAGCTGCAATGAAGGGTGACATATTCTGGGACATGTACTTGGTTCAGTTCTGGATGCTCTTTATATGTAAATTGTAATTCAAAGTAATTTTGAATGCCTATAATTAATTTTACACTAGAACTGTATTCTTGATGGCTTCTGCTAATTGAAGCTTCAACAGGTTGTAATTGTGGATTGGGCTTGTTAGAGCTCTGCAGTTTATCTAATTTTAAGCCTTTTTGCTATGATGATACTGGAAAAATACAAAGTATCTTTCTAAACATTATTATTATTTGTTTAATGAATAAAATTTGACAAAGGTCTTTTGGAGGTCTGCAGATGTATAACTTAAGTAAGTTTAACAATAAGTTGGAATAATAGAGGTAATGGGCAAAATTGTCTTCAAATGTTAGCTTATCTTGTTAAGTTCATAATATGGAAGAAGGCCTGTTCAGTCTATGAACGTACGGATCATCCACTGGATGACTGCATAGTTTCCTTTGAAAAACTTCTTCCATGGTACCTTCATGGTGAGTCATACAGTTTCATTTCCAGTGAGTGTCTGAAGGAGCATGAATTTGTCTGGTAACTTTTCCACAAGGTTAAAGTTACTATAGTGGAAGTTTACAGTGGGAACCATGCTGTGAGTGCTCAACTGTTTCCATACTCACTGTCAAATGCAGAAGAAGGAAAATATGGGATGAGGCAGGCAGTAGATGTTTCATTTATTTTAGTATTACAGCATGTAGGTCTATCTAATATGTAGTAAAGTAGCAAGTTTTATCTGAAGGAAACTAGGGGCCTCGGCAGACGACTAATAGAGTCGTCTCCGAGGCCTGGAAGAGGAGGGGCAGCCGCACGAGCGGCGCCCCTTCCTCTTCCCGAGGTTGCCCTCAGAGCTGCCGGCCCTCCGCACGGCCGGCGCGCCGAGGGCAACCTCCCGCCACAGCGACCACACGCGCTGCAGCAGAAAAGTCAGGGAAAGTGCACCCTACGCATTTAGGGTGCACTTTCCCTGACTTCTAAAAGGAAACCCAATTTGGCGCTCCTTTCAGGGTCGCCGCAGGAGCGCCGCGGTGCGGCTGCCATGGCCCCGCGGCGCTCCGGACCAGGGCGTCCTGGACGCCCTGGTCTGCATCCCCCCTAGGGTAGATCTAGCCAACTCATTTCCCAGGAAATACCCATTCCTTCCCTTATTTTAAGCTCACTTCACATTGTTAACCCTGTTTCGTTTTACCAGGATTAATCCTGGTAAAAATATTGAATCTATGAGCATACTAGTCATACTAGAACAAGATGTGTTATTGGAGATATAGCAAAATGTACCACCCAAAGAAACAACAAATTTACACTGAAATCCTAAATACTTGTGCCAATATAGTTGGCTGTAATATGGTAGTATAATGCTGCAATGTTCATACAGATGCACAGTCATTAGCTCTCATACACTGATACATCAAGACATAAAATTAAATTTTCCTGTTTGTGTTGATAAAAGTCTATATGTACCAATGAATCTTTTATATTCATTGTTTTCTGTAACCCTATGATAGGTAATTTAGAGCAACCCAGAATATTTTGAACTATATACCAATGTTTGAAAATAATCCTTTTTCTCATCACATTAAAAGGAAAGGAACCCTCTTTCAAATCCAGTTCTCTGCATGCTGCTCAGTACTTCACAGTGGGGTATGTACCACTCTGAGCCAGTTTGGCAGGTATCCATTCAGTTGAGGTAGACAAGATTACTTTAATCAAGAAACCATTTCCTTGTTAGTGGGAGCGGGTTGGGAAATGAAGGAAATTCCCATTTGCAGTTTTAGAATAAGGCTTTACTTTCCCCTCAAAATGGACTGGGTCCAGGCCACCAGGCGTAGCCTGTCCAGTATGTTTTCTTAATATACAGACTTTGGCAAGAGATAACCCCCCTTTTATTCCCCACTTGGCCATTGAAACTCACTGGGTGACCTTGGGCAACTTCTACTCTCTCAGCCTCAGAGGAAGGCAAGGTCAAGGCCATTCTGAACAAGTCTTGCCAAAAAGATGAACAAACCCTGTGATAGAGTTGCCATAAGTCAGAAACTACTTGAAGGCACACAACAACAATGATTACAGAATTAGTTATTAGCTTGGGGAGGCTGAGAACTCACACAGTGTGCTCTTAGTATCCATTGAGGTTTGGTTTTAGGATGCTTCGAGAATAACAAAATCCATGGATGCTCAAGTCACATTAAATGCAATGGTGTAGTGAAATGGTGTCCCTTATATAAAATAGCAAAATCAAGGTTTGCTTTTTGGAACATGTGTGTGTGTGTGTGTGTGTGTGTTCCAAAAAACAATCCTTGATATTTGTTTTGATAACCCTCAAGCTTGGATGGTTGAATCCATGAATCTGGGGGGCCAACGTATTTATTTCTGTCTGTTCTTTATTTGTTGCTTTATTATATATGTGGTTATCTTGCTAGAAAAAAAAGTACTGGTTAATACTGTGATAAATTTAAGATAAAAATTCTGAAACTGCTAATGTTTCTGCAGTATGCTGAATACAAGGTGTCTACTCATGAATGGGTGTTTTCAGGATCTAGCACCTAAAGGCATCACAGATGTTGTCAGATTATTAACAGATATTTTTATCTGAATCAGTGAGCTCGACAGTAGCAAGCAGCACAATACAATGGGTTTTTGTTAAATGTATAAAATGAAATACTTCAGAAATATAGCCATTCCACTCCTTGACTATTCCTCCTCCTCCCTCCTCCCCCTGTTTTTACTTTACTGCCTTTCAATAAGTGCTAAGCCTTTAGGGAGAGTGTTTGAGCATAAATGGTGCTTCCCTCCCTTTTTCTTCTTTTCTATGTGTG